GGAACCTCTTCTAACCGGTTCAGTAGATTTGACGAACCGGTTCTACCGAACAGGTGCGAACTGGTAGGAACCCACCTCTGTGTCGGAGGATCTTGTGGGGTGATTCTGAAATTCTCCCTATCGCAGGAGATTCATGTAAACTAAAGGAAAGCAGGTTCCTCCTGTTAGTAAGTTGAAAAAGTGACATTCCAAAGGGAGCCCTCCTTGGCCATCTTCACTGGAAGTCACGACATTTTGACTGTAAATGTTGTTGTCTAAATAATGGAACCTTTTTGTGTTTTGTTTTTGTTTTTTACAGCACCGGTTCCAACCCCAGAATCCCTTGTCTGGAGCACAGCAGTTTGTGGCGAAAGATCCCCAAGAAGATGATGACTTGAAGCTTTGTTCACATACAATGATGCTTCCCACTTGGGGCCAGCTCGAGGGAAGGATGATTGTCACTGCTTTTGAGCACGGCTTGGATAATGTCACGGAAGAAGCAGTTACAGTTGTTGTCTATGCTGTAGAGGTGAGATGACACAGAAGGGCAAGTTTAGTCATGAACACCCAGATACATTGTGTATGATGTCAAGTTCGGCATTGATTATCTGCCTTTGTAAAAATAGGAGCAAAAAGGATATCCATATTACAAGGAAACAGACCTATGAAAACTATTTTGTCTGCTTATTAATATTAATTTGGGGAATTGTTTTTCCACATATGGCCAAGATTGAATACTTGTAAGCAAAGTATATGTAAGCAAAGTAAGATTGTGCTATTTAAGGAACAAAAAGTGTGGGCTAACGTAAGTTTGATTTGCCTGTCTGTTTTCTTGGGAAATTTTATTTTTGCTTTTAAAGAAAGCGTTTCTTTTTAACATGTCATACTTTATTTGAGGTTTAACTGAGTGATCAATATTATAAATGGACAACGTCTTGTCCCCCATGGCTCCTTTCTTTTCTGTTTTCTCTTATAACAAGAATGCGTAGAATCCAGAAAAATGTTATGTGATGATGCCATTATTTGTATTGCTCCCCTGTCTTTTCTATTCATATGTGAAATGAACAGTTTGAAGGGGCCCATCTAATGTCTTCATCAACATTAATAATTCTGGAAAACTTCCTCAAGGATTTTTTGAAATGACACCTGGAGGCTAAGAAGGAGATGACAGACTGTGTTGCTGGTTTAGCAGCTCTTGATTTTCAGTCCAGAACCTTGATGTCATCTCTCTTCCTTTATTCTTGAAAGAGACAAATAGGAATAAAGAGATGTGGCCATTCTCAATTCTCACTTGTTTCTGGTTGCAGGAGTTAGCAATTCTGACTCTTAGAATTTCTGGCAACGTACTCTTGCTAAATTATCTTATCAATGTAGGCTTCCCATAAATGCATAAAATCTGCAAAAACACAGGTTTTGTCTATTTTTTTTGTCTGCAGAATACAAACAAATTAAATCACAAATATTATTTGTATATTTAGTTCTTTGCAACATCTTTCATTAACTCCTCGCATGCAGACGATAGAATCATCTTTTTGAGTCAACTTGAGTACCTCATTGACTATAGTTGGGCTTTATAGAGCCAAGGGAACAAGATGGGTGTCCAGAGGTTAAATGAGAGCAAGCCATAAGCCAAATGACGGATTTGACAATGGAGGAATACCTGGGCATAGGCAAGGATTCCAGAATAGATTGATGGCCAGAAACAAGGGGGAATCCAGGCAGTGGCCTTCATGTTGCAATCTTCATAGTACAAGCATTGGATACTTCAGGTTTTGGCTTTTTTGCAAGCAATAAACAGACATTTGTTTCTCTGTAGAAGCATCTTAAAGATATCCTTACTTCTGTAATATCAAGAAGAAAGGCTTACCGTGTGAGGGACGGTCACTTCAAATATGCCTTTGGAAGCAATGTCAATCCACAGCCGTATCTGAAGAATAGTGTCATTGCTTACAATAACTTAACTGAGTGGTAAGGATTTGCATGATACTAATGCAGCATAAGAGAGAATGTGAGAATATGAAACTTACTTTTTAACAGAAATATCCTAATCATCAGAGAATATATATAATGTTACAGTTGCTCTTTGTTTTTGGATTTGTAAAACTTTGGTTATACATTTGTGATCTTGGGACAAAGTATTATCACACTTTACATATCATAAAGAGCCATGGAGGCACAGTGGTTAGAATGTAGTATTTCAGGATAACTGCCCACAGCCTGGAGTTGGAATCTCACCGGCTCAAGGTTGACTCAGCCTTCCATCCTTTCGAGGTTGGTAAAATGAGTACCCAGATTGTTGGGGGCAATATATTGATGTTGTAAACTGCTTAGAGAGTGTTGTAAAACACTATGGAGCGCTATCCAACTACAACTATTGTCTTTGAATAATATAATCATGGAGAAAAGCTATGTTTCTCCTGAGTTCAGTATTATATTTCCTACATTTTAATTTTTGTATTGTTTATTTTAGATAATTTGATATTGTGCAGGGATAAAGAACCACAACATGGGTTATATCTAACCTTCATACCATTTTGATAATTGTATTAGTTTTATTTGGATGTTAGCTCTCAGAAATCTCTGGAGCTAAGTGAACTATAAATAATAGCAAACAAATAAATCAATAAATATTTTCATAGTATGCATAATATTTCCTTTAGGTTTTGTTGGAAAATGCTACTACTAAATGCTGCTCAAAAGTTTCATTTTTATCCAAATGCAGGCTAATATTATACAACATTATTCAGATCAGAAGTTGCACATGACTGTCAAGTGGTCTGGTGGGGCCTATGTGCCAACTGACCAGGGGTGGGTTGCTGTCGGCGTTACTGTTGGTTTGCAACATGCGTGCGCCTGATGCGCGCTGTGCGTATTTGCGCTGTTCAGTGTAAATTGCTATGTGCGCATGCGCAGAATGATTTACAATGAACTGCTCATGCACAGTCACTAAAATTCAAAATGCCGGTGCCCAAGAGGGAGCGAGGGCACCAGCTCCGGGGCGTGTCAGTCCTGGATCACTGCCGGTTCTGTGACCCAGGCCTGAATTCCACTACTGGTTCGGCTGAACCAGGATGAACCGGCAGCAATCCACCTCTGCACCTGACACTTCTGGTATTCAGGTTAGAATCTGAGCCAGCAGTGAACTCTTCTTTTTCCCCTAATAGGATGCCAAATTCATTTTTCTCCAATTTGTGTCTTTTTCCTAGTCCTCCTACCTGCTTGGCTCCCCCACCTGGTCAAAACCTTGCTTCCCATCTACCACCTGACGATGCAGAGCAACAAGCAGCCCTCCTTTTGGCCTGTTCTGGGGACACCTCACCAGCAACCCTGCCCCCAGTGAACATGTATGATCTCTTTGAGGCATTGCAGGTAACTCTCACAAATTACATATTTTAATTTCAGTTGCTGTTCTCCTGATAGAGATGTTGTTTCAGAAAGAACTTACTACCAAGTAATGGGGGGAAAGGAAAGAATACCCAGAAAGAAAATACATCGCTTGCTTTCTCTTTGTTCTTAAATGTGTAGGCTGCCACATCTTTTAAATTCATGGTGTCTTACAAGAACATGACACACACCAAATTGTCTGGGTATTAACATAACTCTAATCTGAATAATAACATAATTCAATTCAAATTTGTAAATCACATTTAAAAAAACAGTTATAACTAATTAATTATATATACCGTGTTTCCCCGAAAATAAGACAGGGTCTTATTTTCTTTTGACCCCCCCCCCCAAATAAGTGCTTGGCCTTATTTTCAGGATGTTCTTATTATTTTTGAGGTGTAGGAGGCAGCGAGCATGGTCACCTCATGGCTGCTGCTGTGTTGCAATATTTTCGGGAAGGGCTTATTTTCAGGGGAGGGCTTATTTTAGCCCATGCACTCAAAAGCCCGATTTGGCTTATTATCTGGGGAGTATCTATACACACACACACACACACACACACACACACACACAAACACACAAATAAATATTAATTAATTTGTGGCCAGTAAGATTTTCACTTGTGTTCTTGCAGATCCACCGGGAAGTGGTCCCTGCCCATACTGTCTATGCCCTCAACATTGAAAGGATCATCCTGAAACTCTGGCATCCAAACCATGAAGAGCTTCAGCAAGACAAAATCCATCGGCAGAGGTTGGCTGCGAAGGAAGGCCTCCTAATGTGCTAAGACTGTTTCCAGTGCTGACTTTGGGCTGGACTAATATATTTTTAATGTGCCAGTTGGCATTTTGACTTTAGAATCTCAGCATTTGCATTATTTTATGAGCACTTCCAGGTAGAAGTGTGAACATGTTTCCCATGGAAATATGACTCAAACTGAAGAGCATATAAGCCCTGATTGCTTAGAAGATCGACTACTTGCTGGTAACTTTCAACAAACTGAATAGCATTAATTCTGAAAATCTTTCTGTTCCACTAGAAAATGGATATTGCAGCAAAAACCACATTTTTGTTTTCATTCTGTCCTTAATATGTCAGATGATGCTCTGTCAATCTGCAGCACAAAGATGTTCCTACAGTCACCAGATACTTAGACCATCAAAGCTACTGCTTTGGGTTGTTTTTACAAACATACATTGTAAATATACTACACAAAACTTTGTTTTGTTGGTATTTCTTTTGTATAACTTGGGTTTATTACATATTGGAGAAGTTGGAGTTCATTAAAATAAATTTTATTGTAAGACAATTTTCATTATAAAAATATTTTTTCTTTATAAAAACAGCAATATTTAAATCTGTGAAAAGACCTTGAAATACATAATTGTCATTCTGATGATCTTTTTAAGTATATTTTGCCTCTGGGAAAGTAAAAGAATAACCAAGTTGTTTGCTTAGTTATTCAACAGAATTCATAACTCTTTGAAGTGAAATCTCCTTCACCCTACATGTTTCACAGCAGAAATAGAGAATAAGAGATTTTTAAAATATGTGATTCTGCAGTACTTTGCAATGTATCTAAATGAGGTAAAGATTGCCAAACAGAATGGTGAAAAGTTGCTTAGCCATAAACGATAGATCCACAAAACCCAGAACTAGTTGAAATTGTACCATAGGAAGCACATTTTTTGGGTTCCACCACAAAACCGCGGTAGACAAAAGCGTGCTCGACGAAAGCGCGTACGTGACGTCATCACAGCACAACGAAAACATCGCGCTGTGATAGATAAATGTAAAAATAAAGCGAAAATCTTACCCTAACCCCCCCAAACCTAACCCTAAACCTAACCCTTAACCTAAGCCTAAATCTAACCCTAAACCTAACCCTTAATGTAACGCTAAACCTAACGCTAACCCTTAACCTAACGCTAAACGTAACCCTAACGCTCTAAACCTAACCCTAACCCTTAACCTAACCCTAACCCTAAACCTAACCCTTACCTTTATGTGAATCGGCTTGCTTTAATTTTATTTTTATTTCAATTTTTAATTTTTTTCGTCGCGCTGTGATGACGTCAAGTGCGCGCTTTCGTCGAGCGCGCTTTTGTGGACCGCGGTTTTGATGGGTCACGCATTTTTTGTTCTGCAGATCTAGAGGATGCCCAAGTTTCCAGTGCAAAGAAAAATCCCCACTTATTTCTAACAAATAAATTATAGAAATAAATCAAAAAGGCTATTTGATTTTACAAAGCTGTGGCACAGTGAAGATCATAGCAGAACATTCATCTTCAATCTGTCGGTCATTTTCTTCCGTGAAAGTGGGAATAGGATTTTATTTTATTTTAGTTTTACTCAGGGAGGAATTACTGCCATACAGAATAATTTGAATGTGTCCCATGTCAAAGAGGCTTAAAAGAGATACAAGGAAGATGACTTGTCCATTTCAAAGGAAGAGAGCATAAATATATCTAACAAATAAACTTAATGGCCGGTTCATTCCTGTAATCATGATTCTTCATTACTCAGATGCTTAAAAAGAACTCCCGGCACAGATTGTTCATCAAACCTCTCTTCAATCCGTGAAACGGAAGTATTCCATTTCAGGAGCAAAAGATCAGATTGCTCATAAAATACATCTTTCAAAACTCTGGTAAACAAGTTCATTTCCAAACAATTGCTGTTGATGTCAGTGGAAATGTGTTCTGAGGCCCAGTCCTGTATATATTTACTTTGAAATAAAAGTTTCATCTTTCTCAGCTTGTCTTAATCCAAAGTATACATTTACAATTGCAAAAGGATTTGAACTGGGCAGTTTGTGTCTTGCCTAAGTCCATTTGCCCGGATCAAATTCATGGCTAATAAAATTAATTACAAATGTAGAAATGCCCGGTTCAAATCCCATTTTAGCTATTAAATATCACAGTGACCTTAAGCTCTTGATCTTCCATATGCTACATGGAGATAAATAATGATTAATTTTTAAATAATTACAACCACTGGGGAGGCTGATGTCCATAAGATTTGGTTAAAAAAGCCAAGATGGGGGAGGTGGGGCTTGACGTCGCAACGACACGACATCTTGGGGCTCCAGGATTGCTGTCGATGTCTCTGTTCCTGGATGGTCCTTTTGGACCTAAACTGTTCTGAAGAAACAGTGATAGAGAAGAGCATGTCCTGCTGATCTCAGGGACATTGCAAACTCCCTGATTGATCCAGGAGAAAGTTCTTTTTGCCAGCTACAAGAGAAGCAGTCAAAGTGGCTGCAGAAGGTTGGGACAAGCCCCTGAAACAGAAGCAGTACAGGAGAGACAGTGTGTTGAAATGGTGAGAAAAATATTAGAGAAGGGAAAACCCAAAAGACTTGGCGTTTAAAATAAAATTGAAGACAGAAGAAAATAAGCGGCGAATTAACCTGGTTTAAAACTCGTGTTATCTTTTCTACCTTAACTTTGTTTTCTATGGATGTACTTTTTACAAATGCTTCTTACTTTTAAACTGGATTGGTCTCTTTTTTTCCTTCTTCCTCTATACTTTTTCCATTTTTTTGTATTCATGGATTAAAAGTTTCTTCTCTCGTAATGGTTGGTCGGAGCGTAATTTTTAAACATTTTTTCCCCTCTTCTGGAGCTTGGAGTTTACAGAGAGAGGCAAAAACAGATGGAAAAGAGGTAACCTGCCATCTAGTGGCTAGAGGCTTGGCAATATTTGATATTACAAAGCTATAGGCTTTGTTTACTGAAAGGATCAGTGGAAAACATTTTGTTTATCCTTTGAAGGAAAGAGAAAGCTTTGATTTGAAAAACTCCACTGAATTTGTTTGAAACCTAAAAAGTCTCAGATGTTTTGGCAGTGGTTATAACCTGGAAAATGGCACAATGTGAAGAAGAAAAGGCACTAACTGTACAAAGAATTTTCTTAGAAATTCAAAAAGTTTTAATAATCACAG